CTCTTTAACAACTTATTGGAACATTAGTCAAAATAAGTTTATTGCACTCAGCTTCAGAGTGAGAAGTGGGATAGCAGGTTGTATTAGCCACTCTGTGGTTTATTTCACATGGCACCAATTAATTTTTGGCCCTGTTTTCATAAGTAATAGAAAAGGAAGTAAGTTATTTGAATAATTCACTGAAATACATCCAGTTTTACATTTAAATATGTCAATGAACTGCACTTAGAAAATGGATGTTTTGTGTATTTGTCTCATCTGAATTTTCAGGCACTAACGGCCAAAAATTTTTTAAAATTATTGTCTTTATTTTAAAAAGACTCACTTTTCTCACATTTTCTACACTTGATCTTAGCCAAAGGGCTGAGATGTGATCTCACACATTTTCTTAAAACAAAAGTAAAATATTTCTCAACATGTTAGGTCTAAATGAACCCACCATTATACAAAAAGGATTATAAATAAATAAATTAATTAAAAATGTTACAAAGTGAAATTTTCCCTCATTTCCATAAGAACTTATCTATCATGACAAAAATACCTCAGATGATATAAAAACTGTAGTTAATGACATTTATTCTCAAACTTAATTTTTTCTTTCTTTTTTTTTTGATCCTGGGGATCGAACTTGGGACCTTGCACTTGAGAGGCAGGTGGCAGAACCACTGAGCTAAATCCCCTGCCCCAAGTTGAATTATTGACTTACATGGACCCATTATACTCCAACCTCAGTCTTCTTCATCACAGTTAATACAGGCAAATTTATTTTTCCCGAGTCTTAGAACACTTGGTTGTCCTTAATTCTTTTTCTAGAATCTCAAATCTATTTTTTCAGCAAATCATAATGGTTTTCAAAATATATGTAGAATTTCAACTATGTCTTAAGGTCGCTCCTATAACAGCCCTAGTGCAAGCTACCATCCTGTTTTGTCTGGAGTACTTCAGTGAGACCTGACACACTAAGGACTATTTCCAACCCTGTAGCAGAGTCACCATTCTAAAGCCTAGGTCCTATGGTGTCAGTCCTCTTCCTGTACCCAGTTGCTTGGTTTAAAGAGTACAGCTTACTCATTCTTTAATTCCATATCCCTTCTGATTTACAATCATTCCCCCTTCACAACACTCATGGCATTTTAGTATTTGTTTATTGTTAAACTCTTTTAATGGGAATGCGAATTCAGGGATGGTCTAGATTTGTCTCTTTTGAATGCTGTTGCATTTGCAGCTCCTAGTTATGTCCAGCTCATGGTAGGCTCATAGTAAATATTTGTTGAAAGGTAAACGTTGTTTCTAGCTGAAAAGTATTAGATATTGGGCTCCGCGGGGATGGGAGAAACTAAATTCTTATTTACCAGAGAGTTCAAAGGTTCTTTAAAATTCTGATATTTATTCTGTTGTTCTCTTTCCATTCTCATGCTGAAAAACATGATTGTTTTCTCAGCTGCCAAGCACTAATTTTAAAAGGCCCCTGAGTGTTAAACCTATAAACAGAGGTTCCTGAAGGTTATCATGATTACAGCTCGATAAGCTATCCAGGGGTGTACTACAATTCTTAACATTTTTCTCATCATTGTGTAGTAGCTCTTCTTGCTTTGAAATACACGAATGCAATCGGAAGGCACAGAAAGCTAGCTCAGTTACACACGTATAATTCTGAGGTCCCCTAACCTCTCTAGTGGATCAGTAGATTTGATTTTTTTTTTTTTTTTTTTTCTTTTGCAACAGGGTTCACTATGTAGTTGAGACTGAACTGGAACTCACTATGTAGCCCAGGTTGGTCTCGACCTCACAGCGATCCTCCTGCCTCAGCCTCCTTAGTGCTGGGATTACAGGCGTGTGCCACCACGCCCAGCAGATTTGATTTTTCAATTTCGCCTTTTTTCTTTTGAAATGGGCAACATCAATTCAATAACCGTTTGCCTAAAACATGAGTTTGGCATATTTGTGTACTTTTTAATAGCATAAATGCTAAAATTATTCTGCGCAACATTAGAATCCATCTTTTGGCCATATGAAAGAAGCACAGAATTTCTGACTTCTAAGGTTTTAGTTCTTTTGGTTCAATCATATCATTCCAGACATCAAAGCTGAAGCCTATTGACTTGCGCAGGTCAGTGTCAAATACTGTTTTTGGTCAGAACAACTTACTCTAAAAAATAAAATAAGGTACTCTTGAGACTCCAATAAAAAATAGTTCCCAATGTCATAAAGTTAGTTGATGAATATGACAACATGTAATGTGTGTCTCTAAACAATATGCAGTTCTACCCAGTTCATTCCATGACAATTTAAGCATTAAAAATCTAAGGTCAATACAGTAAAGGATGAAAGAACTGCTAAATCAGAAAATAAAAGCTCTCCACAAGCATCCTAACAAACAAGAGTTTTAAATCATAAAAGAGTAAGAGCTTGCAGGTCATTTGAGATGAAACAACTCCATGACATCTGTGCATGAAGAAGTCTCTTATGGCAGAGATGGTTTCATGTTAGCCATGACTTCTGCTATTTTTTCAAGAACAGGAACTTCTACAACCTAATCTAACTTTTTAAAAAGACACTCATGAGCATTTTCACTTAGTTACTCGCACTTTATCCTGGAACTGCTGAGTCTGTCTGAAGGTTATTATGCCAGAAGAATGTACATGACCTAACAATGTACTGTAACATTTTCCTTTGGTGACTTTGTCTAAGAGATGGACTTTTTTGTGGTGTGATGAGTTTGCTTGGTCTCCTGCTGGCAATCCTTTATTTTTCTGAGAGGCACTAGTCAGCAAAGTCTTAAAATCAGCAATAGCTTTGTTGTTTAGCTTTGCTATAATTAAGATACCCTGGTATTGTTAATAGTTTAGGTAGTTGATATTAATCTACTGGAAAGTAGATTTTCCATAAAATGTGTGATTTTTAAAAGATCTCTATGAGTAGCACCATTCACAATTAAACTCAGGACCTTATGCTTGCGAGGCAGGCACAGTGCCACTCAGCTAAATCCCTGGCCCCACAATTTCTTAAGAATGACTTTTTAAGCTTTCTGTCTAGTGCCATTACCCCTCTCCATGTGTCACTTTCACTAACTCCTGAATATATGGAAGTGAGAAGAACACATGGGTTCTGTTTTGGTAAACTAAGTCTGTGCCTTTCTATGCAGGTAAAACTCCCATGCAAAAACTACTATATAGGTAACATTAATTGAACATCACTTTAATTTTAAAAATCATCTTGGAGTTATATTTCTTTAGATGTGGTAACTCTTCTCTTAATGGTTTTCTTGACAATGCACTCAAAAAAGCTTTCCAACTATGGTATGTAGACCAGTCTTCTTTTTCTTTTTTTGGTACTGGGGATCAAACTCGGTCCTTACATTTGCAAGGCAGGTGCTAGAACCACTGAGCTAAATCCCCAGCCGGACCAGGCTTCCTTTTTAAGAAGTTATGACAATTTCTTTTACTTTCTCCTATATTGTACACTTTGCCTAGCATAAAGTGGGCCAGGAGCATTCACATCCTGAATATTCTTATTCTTTTGGAAATTTAAGTATTTGGCAAATATTGAAGTGTTGGGCCTGTTCAAGTGAAACAAATACAAAATTAACAGACTACTACAATCCACAAGAGGGAATAATCAAATAGTCTTTTTCAAAAAAAATGTAAGCAGATAGGAGGAATTACTACAGATAGCATACACTCATAGGCAAGAAAATAATGGAATCTGTAGTGCTTGAAAAGACCTGGTAAAGGTTAAAAGGTGAATCTCTATTAAATATTTTATATTTGACATTGTAGGAGTGGATGTGAGCATGGATAATCATTTTCTTTCCTAACAGCTAAAAAGAATGTTAAAAATATAAATAAGATAAAATGATTTACGACAAAGGCATCTGAAATCGTTGTCTGCTATTATTTAAAGAACTGCGTCCATAACGACCAACCGTGAGAGAACAGGATGTACACTTCAATACTGGCGGTGTAAGATTTAAAAATGAGGAATAGGCCAAAATCTTCAGGAAAAATAAACATGGCTTGTCCATAAAGACTCCAAAAAAGTTTTCAGTAACAAAAACAGTCTTTAAAGGCCTGCATTTAGTAAAACAAGTGGTGGTGGGGGGTGAATTGTAGATCTTATCTCACAACCACTCAAGGATTTTATGCAAGGCAGGAAGGAAGGTGGGGAAGGGTGCACCAGGATGGGGGTCGTTCGGGGTTCCACTGCTTCACAAGTTCTCGAACTCAGCCTTGGGCAACTCAGCGACTTTGTCTCAGAAAAAAAAATTTTCTTTCAAGTGAAAATGGGGTGGGAATGTCTTTCAGTTTGAAGACTCGGGGTACACTCCCCAGTCTTGGGGTGGGGGGGCGTGTAACAGCAAAAAGAAAGAAAGAAAAGCACAATCTGATTAAGATTCCAGATCCTCCCATTCCTGAAGAGAGCCTTGCAACGGCCAATCGGGGCCCTAGAGTTGAAAACAAAGTTCCAGCGTGGGACACCGGATCCTGA